TTCCACGTCGTGTGAACACAGATGAGAATAGAGGAAGCATTAAATTCCGAAAGTCTATGGAAAGAGACGATTTATTGTGTTAATAGTTGTTAGATATATGTATCTTTAAAACGTTTCGAATACCGATTTTCAGTGTATGCTCGTCCTTCCAACATATCTATATATTTACCATCTGTCCATTCTTAGAATATTGCTGCCACATATAGTCCGGTATCCCTGCTATTTAACTTGAGATCCTTGATAAAATCCAAAGAAGAAACGAAATATCATCGATCCTGATCTAGCGGCTCATCTTTAGTAACACTTTCCAACCGTCGAGACTTCTCTGTGTCTTTTCTATATATATTTTTCATGGTAACTGTTCGGATGATCTTTTCGTTATAGTACCTAGATTTTTAATTTAATTTTAAGCGTTGTACTAAACTGGGATCTAGATCTCGTTAATTTACAATTGAGATGTAGCTGTAAACGCTATGCTAACAGGTTTTGTTTCGCACTTCTCGCTTGTGGAACTCTCCGGCTCAATGCTTTCCAGCCAACTTTAATCCGCAAAAAAAAAAAAGGAAATGGAATGTCAATCGCTATCTACTATCTTCCTGATCACTCTTTTCTCTTCCCGCTCATTATTACTGTTTCTGTTTCTAATTCTTCCGTAACCCCTTGTGTCTTAGTGGCTTTACAGCCTTGCTTGAGATGAAACCGATTTTTAAAAAAATTAGCATTTCATGACCGTGTGATGATCTCTGTTCAGCTTATTTGAATGAGTTTCAATGGTTAATTTTATTAGCAGTGACCGTGAAAAAATTTCACGGTTTTCCTATTTGAATGTTATGATGAATCATAATTCTTAATGTTATGATGAATCATAATTCTTAATGATTGAATTATCTCCGTGCGAGTTCCACGACTATGAATTAACTGTGAAAATTCCCCTATTGCATTGTTAAATATCTGAGCTTAACAAATTAAACAATATACTGAAATAACGATCACATAGGGAACATAGCCTACATACGCCGCTTGCCCGAAGAGGGGCTGGAAGACGTGGACTTCCAAAAAGACGTTTGCGTGCATGTGATTATTTAAGAATGTATTCAAAACTGATGTTTTCCATTTCATTGAAGTATATATTAAACGTATGAGAGTGTTAACACCTACATTATCTTTCCTTTTTTTCTTTCTTTTCTTTCTTTTTCTTTCTTCCCTTTGTTTCCGTCTTCACTTTATACATTCGTTCTACCCTTTATTTCATTCTTTATATTTTGTGTTTCTCGATAAAAACAAAGCATACGTGATATATACTTTTCATACAACTTCAATCGCATTGAAAACGGAATGGTTCATTATTTATCTGCGATAATGTCAGGCATTAACGTACCTGCTATTTTAGTATTTTGCTAATTAATTGCGGAAAAGACAGAAACATATTGATATTACTTTCATCATAATTTCAGTTGTTTTTATCGCAAAGACCATTGAAGAATACTGGTTTGGAGACGATAGATATTTTATTAATGTCTCGTTGCTTTTGGTTGATATAAATAGCTTCAATATCGATTTACTAAGAGTAGTTTAGATGTGGTACAAAGCCAACATTATGGAGCACCTAATAAGTAGCTTAGTACTCAGTTCTAATTTAACTAGTGATACAAGTGCCCGTAAATAGCATCAATAAAATCTCGACTTCCGGATTTATAGAGTATTTCAATATTGCCTTTTGATGGGATCCTTAATTTTTTCATAGATCTTGTGTTGAATATATATATATATATATATATATATATATATATATATATATATATATATATATATATATAATCAATTAAAAATATGAAAAATTAACTATTTGTCAAAAAACGGTTATAGTGATCAAGGCAATTTCAAATAACAGAAACACAGAGCAATTTAAGACATAATTTTACAGGGAAAATGCTTTCAGACAGTAAGCTAGACTTTACGTATATACCCTACCAATATATCATGAATCAGTGTCATGGAATAAGGTTTATTATTCAAATCAGAGTCCAGCAGTAGACGGAGAAAAGGGATACCTGTCTGTGTGTCTGTCTGTCTGTGTGTCTGTCTGTCTGTCTGTCTGTCTGTCTCTCTCTCTCTCTCTCTCTCTCTCTATATATATATATATATATATATATATATATATGTGTGTGTGTGTGTGTGTGTGTGTGTGTGTGTGTGTGTGTGTGTGTTAGGTGTTGCAAAAACATTCAAGTATAAAAAGCGTTTGGAACAATAAAATTATGTGCAATTTTTATATTCCTTAACTCCTACCAAACTGAAAAATATTAGGATGGTGGAAAAACTTAATAAAAATTAATTCAATCTTCCTCGTCGGCTGTATTAACTGAAAGATTTTTGAAAGAATGGTCGCTGCCAAAATATATATTAATTAATATATATATATATATATATATATATATATATATATATATATATATATATATATATATATATATATATATATATATATATATATATATATATACATATATATATATATATATATATATATATATATATATATATATATATATATATATATATATATATATATATATATATATATCTACCTCTCTACGTGTGTGTGTGTAATAGAATTCTCTTTGCAACAATCCTTGGTTGAAATCCTGATAGTATTTATTGTTGTTGAAGTTATCGCCTTTTCTGCCGAGATTTACAAAATCTACGTTTCGTTCAATTCCGCGAACAAATCGATAAAATTTGAATAAGCTGATTTGTTTGATAAATATAATTCGATAAAAACATAGTTCGCTGTCTAATAGTTTCTTTAATTCAATTTCATTTTATAGGACTTCATGTTAAACAATATTTTTAAATTTTTTTTTTTTTTAAATTTTAACAACGAAGAATAATTTCTTAAGATTGCAACTTACAACTGGTCATGCATAAATATTTTTCTAGGTCTAAATTCCAAGTTTTTGAAGCATTTGGACTTGTGATTTGCTTATAATTCTCGCAAACGCAGAGCGAACTGGAAATTGGATGCTTGTATATAAAAACTTACAGTAAAGATATGCAAAAAGCAATATTTCTGTTTTATTAAATAGTTTGTTTTTATTTTATTCATTAAATTGTTTTCAAAATACTGGGAGTATTTTGCGTGTTAAATAATAAAACTTTTAATTTTTCCACCAAAACTAAGGAACATTTAATCTACACACTCTAGTAAAACCAACTGTACTTTGTACACCTTTATCGGTTTGCACTTCACCCCAAAATTTACTTTCCATCGGTCAATGTATGGCTATTGTAGAGGGTGTGACAAACGGACTAACGGAATTCACAGAACTGTGTGTGTGTGTGTCTGTGTTGTTGTTATTGCGGCATTCTGTTTGATTCTAAAAGAAATTTTGTTATCTCAAACCAGCCCCTGCAGTCGCCTCTGTATATCATCAATTTAACGACATTATAAAATTTCCGCGGCAGTGTCATCATCTCTGCCCTTTATGGACACAAACCTATTGCAGACCAACTTATTCGAACGTATATAATTGCTTTCAGAGACATCAATCTAATCATATTCCCAGAGATTTTGGGTAGCACTTTATCTGAGACAATTGTTTAATTACCTTCCAATTACAGACCATAACTGATTTGGTTATTACCTGGATATCTTATAAGGATAAATAAATTAATATATATATTTGGTGGCACGTATTATGTGTGAATGCAAGTACTGGGTGTAACAGCAAAATTGTCCAAATCGTGTAACAGCATAACTGCCCATCTCTAAAAAATTTAATATCTAAAAAATCACTAAACTAATTGAATTTCATTTTTCTAGGTTTTTTTTTATCTGAAAAGTTGTTTAACCATGTTACACCATTTGCCGTCAGAATCACTGAAAAATCCTTTGAGTTGTTCAGCTAGAAAGAGAACAGGATAAAAATGTTTCATGTCAATCCCACTGTCTTCACAACTGAGCAATGGCAGGAGGAAAAAGATCACTAAGGCCTTCAGTAATAGTACCAACATACATACTCTGGCTTTCATCTTCAAAGTCCATTCAAGTACCATCAAGAGGACGGGGAATTAGTTTTAAAAAGAGTGAACAGTAGAGAGGAAAGCAGGATCAAGGGATCACAAGAGGAAAAGGGATCGTTATTTCAACTTAGAGCTAAAGAGATCAATTAGAAAAGATCCAACTCAATCCATAAAACGATTGGCACGTGATACAGGAGATCGGCTATGACAGTTCAAAGATCAGTGAAAAAAGACTTGAAAATGAAATCGTACGTGAAACGTGTGAGACATCTTGTTATTCCAAGACAGAAAGTTAGAAGGTTAGAGAATCAGTTGGAAAATCGCTCTGGAATTCAAAGCTTAATCTAACAATTGGACAATTTTGCTGTTACACGATGTGGACAATTTTGCTGTTACACGATGTGGACAATTTTGCCGTTACACCCGGTACATGAATGCAAGATTACTCGTTTTTCTTTCTTTGTTGTATGTACATTTTCTGCATTTATATTTACTCTAGTTTCTGTACATAAATTTGTTAAAGTGCGTATGTATATAGAAATATAGACAGACTCTGCGTATGTATTTATATAAATGTACATAGAGAGAGAAAGAGAGAAAGTGTCTGAGTCTGTGTCTCTGTGTGTGTCGATGCATCTGTGTGTGTGTCGATGCATCTGAGTGTGTGTGTATGTGTGTGTGTGTGCGCGCACGCGCGTGTGTGTGTAAATGAATGAGAGAGATTGAACGGAGAATGTAGGTCTGTTGTTTTTAACGCCATATCAACCTTTCTGGGTTATTTAATGCTGAAATCTAAATGTTTAGTATACAATTTTGCTTTATTGTTTTTAGATAATAATGGTGTTACTGATACAAGACTTACTAATTAACCCATAGCTGAGGGGGAGAAGAGGTGGATTCATCCCTTTTTCAAGGCTATTTGCGCGTAAGTGAATATAACGAACCCAGTTATCCATTACACCACCCACACATACAAGCTTACAGCCCCTGGTATTCCCAAGCAGTCCCTCATCTAGGTACTGATCAGGCCCGACGTTGCTTACGTTCAGTGATCATACGGAAACCGGTGTTTCAACGTGATGTGACCGTAAGTCTATGAATGAATGTGTGAGAGTGGAAGAAAGTTAATGAGTGTGAGAAAGAGAGTCAATGAGTGTGTTTGAGAGCGTGAGATAGTGAATGAATGCGAGAAAACCAAAAAGGAATGTGTGTGAAAGAGGGTGAATGAGTGTGAGAAAGTGAGTAAATTTGTGTGTGAGAGAGAGGAAAAGTGAATGAATGAGAGTGAATCATTTAGATTGAAAGAGAGTGAATGAGCGTGAGAAAAAAACAGTGTATGAGTGAATGAGTCAGATGGAGAGAAAGAGAGACAATAATAACAATAAAGATATTACTTCGCCAAGAATACAATCAACCTGGATATTTCCAGTTGATAAAGACTTCAAGACAAACAATCCCTGCAAATAAAGTATTCCGCATAAAATGACAGAGCAAGGGTAATTATTAACTATTTATTTAAAGTAAAGGAGTTCACTGACATTTTTTAAATCTGCATTCTGAGGTTCATGGAAGTTTCATCCAAACATCATTAGAATTTATTGAGAACCGAATTTATTTTCATACCTTATTTTCTTTTTATGATCTGGAATAGGATAAGAACTATGAAATATGAATATATAGACACATTATGTATAGGAATAAACTGTATGTTAACATTCAGATACACGTCTTGATCATCCAACCAAGCCTTGTTCTAAAAATCATATTCTAACGTAAAACTGACATTCCCAATGCAATGCTAATTCCTATGACCACACTGTCTTTATAAATACTTCCCGCTCTCAATATTTAAAATTTTAAATAATACATATGTGAAAGTTTAAGTTAGTTTTCTGTCAATATTGCAAATATTAAATAATGTGTTTTAGAGTATGTCCGTGTGTGTGTGTGTGTTTAATTGATTGATTTGTTTGTTTAACGGCATATCAACACCTTATGGGTCATTTCATGTCGAAAATTAATTTTCTTGAGAGCTTTTCAAGTAATAAAAATATGTTCACATTTGAATACATGGTAGATGATATTCAAATACTTTTTTCATATACATTTTCTTGTGGACACAATTACTATATTTGTTATATATTGTAACTTTTTTTTACAAATTGTAGGATATAATATGGATTAATGTCATGAAAGAGTTCTTTCATGTTGGTTGTTTAGTTGATTTTGTTTAGCGACATATCAACGTCTATGGGTTATTTAATGCCGAAATCTAAATATTTTGAACACAAATGTATTCTTTCAAAAAATGTTTTGTTGGGTCATTTTGCTATAAAATGTATTGTTCGCAATTTTACTATACATAAGCATTGTTACTATAAATAGGTATAATGTATTTTTATACTTTCATAGTGTTTTTTTTTTTTTTTTTTTTGGTGGGTTACTATTTACCCATAGCTGGAACCTCTAACAGGAGCTACCACCTCGGGTCAGGGTGGACCAGGGAAAATCAGCAATTAGGAGGTGGTTTCATGCTCCTCAAAAACTCCAATCTCCCGATCAAAGGCCTTACTGCCGGATGTAGTTGTAGTTTATTGTTATACTCAAACTGTGTTGAGTGTACGTACGAGAGACTGTTGAATACTTATCGGCCTGATTAAAAGGGTACTAATAATAAACAATATTTGCTCATTTGGTTAAACTGTAGGCATATATGCATGTGTGTAAATGTATGATTGTGTTTGTGTGCGTTCATGTTTGCGTATATGTTTTTACGTGTATGCAAGTGTATGCATGTGCGTGTGTATATATGCATCTACATATATGTCTATGTGTGATTGCGTGTGTTTGCAGTTTATCGTCTCTTGTGTGCATTCTTCACAGCAAATTTCGATCATCTCCGCTGAACGCACTTCTTCCTTTTTTTTTTGGCCATTTTTTTCTATTCTTTTTTTCTTTTCTTTTTTTTTTTTCTTGGTTACTTTTTTTTTTATAATTTATTTATTTTCCTGCTTTCGCTAATCTTCATTCCAATGTCCTTGACATTATGTCATTTGGCGGCTTCCATACTTTTTTCTCAACTAATCCTGCGTAGAAGTCTTAATCACTTGCTTCAGCGTCGCATCTAAAGTAGAGATTCGGATAGGCGCGTGGGTGAAAGGAGAGGCGAGGAGAGACTGGAAACCCAGCAGGATAGGACAGTGACGTGTCTCGCATTGCTGGTGAGCATTTAATACACAAGCCATCATTTCGATAACTTAAGGTTTTTGATTATTAAATGATGAAAAAAGAACAGTTAAAACAACATTGCAAAAGTCGGTGTGATACTGTAACAGTAATTTTACCGATGTAAATGGTAACACTGTCTTTGCTGCCATAGTCATAATTACAATGGAACAAGAATAATATTCAAAGAACGGTCTGTTATGTTATCTCTCCTGACCAGGCAGCTCGACTTCAGTCACTTTCGCACAGACGTGATGTAGCTTCTTTTGTCTTTTCAACAAATATTTTCATGGCAATTGTTCTGATGATCTAATTTCCCTAGTGGCACAACTACATGAATTGAATCCTACTTAACCGTTGTAGTATTCAACTAGTTAGATATAACTATCCGTTATATCCAAATAGTTTCCTTTCTCGCACTTCTCGCATGTGGATCTCCCTTCCGAATTCTTGCTTTCCTGCCAACTACAATCTTCAAAACTTCAAATGTAACGTCAATCGCAATCTTCTGTCTTCCTGAAACTTGTTCCTTTATTTACCTATCGCCACTTCTCTTCACTAAAGTATCTTTATTCTCTTTCACTAACTGTAAGCCGCTGCGTTATAGTGGCATTATCGCTTTGCTTGGTGTGAGAGGATTAAAATAAAATATCTACTTGTAATCAGTAGAAACATGGCGGACAATAACAGAGCAGTGCTAAAAATAAGATCTAGACGTGGTATACCTAGACATAGGCAGTGGGACGGGAAAAGTTTACCCCCGTAGATTAAATAAAGGTTTCAGTTCAGAATTCCTTATAAGTTATCTGGATTGATGAAACGTTCTGATAGCAACAACAATGACTAGGAAAATAGTCCGAGTGTAAATATTGTAAAATTTCTTTAGAAACAAAGAAAAGCGTTCCGAACTGCTAGGTAATATCTAATCTCCGGTAAATTTTGAACAATATCTTTGCAGATGAAGAAACTTGAAGGGACATAGACGTAGTTCTGCCAAGGAATGAAATGAATATAAGGAAGCTTTATGTAGAAAAAGAACTAAAAGAATATTTACACTTACAATCAAAAACAGGGATCGGAACTTTCTAGTAGAAATGATGAAGAAAAGATAATCTAGATAATTTAACTCTCACAAGATATGCAGGATATTTTTTTTTTGAAAGCTAAGCCGGAGGAAACGGCGAGGTACTTAACGTGTTTTTCTGTGAATGTATGACAAAACAAAGGCAAAAATGGATAGTAAATTGCATTTTAGCTAAACGGGTATAGCACGTCAGACTCTAGTAAATTGGCAATATATATATATATATATATATATATATATATATATATATATATATATATATATATATACAACAAAAAACAGTAAGTTATGGGGATCCATGACCACCCTTCCTGAAGGACATGTCACATATGGAGAAGAATGTATAGCGTAATCAAAGGCTTACTACTCGTGCGAAATCTCTAAAAAGCCAATAAAAGGAAACAGTAAACCTTATATGAGATGATAACAAATGATGAAGTCAAACGTGTCATCAACTGATAATCATGACTTAAAAAAATACAAATAACCTATCAATGGGTTAATGATTACAATATAGTTAATGATTAAAGTTAGACATTTTGACGGCCGTTTTTGAGTATAGAATCCAGAGGTTAGCAGTGAATATTTCGGAGACAGTAGGAAAGCGTAGTTCAGGTTCGCAGTGGATATCGCAGCAAAGTAGCAGAGCGTAGTTCTTCCTTATTCATCTTCACCAGACAAGTTGGCACTGGTCATTCCAGTTGGAAAACAAAGATTGCCGCCTTTATACACGACGGATACAATGTCCTGCGGCTTCTGATTGGTTAATCTTCTATTGGAAGACGATAAAGGGATTTAAGTCATTTTGACTAACTCACTAGTTACACGCATGTATACACAAAAAACTGTGACAGTTATGGCTGCACAAAGCCGAAAATATGGGGCATCGAACTCACTACTCAGTCATAATTGTCCTAGAGAGACAAGTTTGCTAATACATTACACTACGTCGAGGTGCCTTAGTGGTTTTCTAAGCGTAACTTAGATATGGCACAAGGTCGAAATTATGGGACCCACAGTGATGATCGAACTTGCTAGTCGTAACTGATCTAGGGAGACAAGCTTGCTAACCACTGCACCACCTCAAGCTTTTAGCAGTTATAATAATTACGATTTCACCAAAATATGAACTTGAATTAGTGTTTCAGTGGCCGAGCATGATTGCAGATTATTTACACTGTTTATATTCACCATTGTCCTCATCTTTGTTGTTTTTTATCACAACGCTTAGGCCGTTGTGCTCTCCAGCCTACCTCAAGTGTATATCTATCAATCTAGGTAACCTACAGGGATTTCTGAATTTAACCCTTCGCTTAATCTCCGGAGGCAGACTGTTCTCGTACCATTGCTCATGTCTAGGGATATCGCCTCGTTCAGTTATTACTCAGCTATTTCCACAGGACCAAATAGGTAAAAAAAGTTGGTTTGTGGATTTGGTGACAACGTGGTTGTGAGTTCAATCTCTGGGTCGAGTAGAGTGAAATTGCGCTCAGTGGAAACTGGTGAGGAATAACTAAACAGTAGTAAATATAATAAGAACTAGATAATACGCTTGGACATGGCTAGTGGAACGAGGACAGTCTGCCACCAGAATTAAATAACCCAGATCGATATATATCAAGGAAGGTTGGACAGCACAACGACCAAAAGGTTGCGGTAACAACAACTAAGATGAGACCGATTAAATAGCGTAAAAAATAACTCCTTATCTCCGAAACTTAGACAAAAAAAGATTTTAGA